AATAAGTTAATAATTCTGTAGAATATTAAATCCATATACTTAGTAGTAAGTAGGTATTAATATTAAACAGCAATGTACATTAATTTTATTTATATACACACAAATAAACATAAACACATAGATAAACAAGATGAACACAAAAACTATAATCTTAAAAATGTACATAGTAATAATTCCTGTATAGGGTGGTTATTCCGGTATGGGATGGCCTTTCCGGTATGGTGTAGCATTTACGGTATAGGGTTGCAGTCCGGTATGAGGTGGCCGTTCCGGTATGGTCACTGCTATTGGCCTAAAGTGTATATGTATCTTTAAAATATCGTAACGAAATTAAATCGATTATTATAAAACACTTCAATTTTATACTCATTGTTTCGTCTTTATAATATATAATTTATCAAGACAGAATCATTATTTTCGTTTAACTTTTTAATATTATAATCCGTCGCCATTGCGCAAAAAGTGACTATAGGGCGGAGTCTCCAAATATATTCGAAAAGTTTTTCGAATTTACATAAAAGTACCGCCGTTGGTAAGATAAAGCGTGTAAAAATCGGAGCATTTCGCTGGTCAAAAAAGTTTTTTTCCGCGGGAAGGAAGGGAGAGGCAAGCATTTTTTTAATACTAAAAACTTATCGAAAATAAATAATTTTTTTGTTCACGTCTATCAGATATAAACATAGCATTCATGTCAACGTTTAGAAATAATTGCAATAGGTTATTGGACACTCCAACTGTATGTGACCGCTTTGAACATTTTATTTTACACTTTTTTCACTTTTTGCTCGACGACGATTTATTAGAAATATTTTGTTATTATAAAGTGACCGACACAAATCGCACAATCTTTTCAGATATATACGTACCAAACCCGATACACTTATACCGTTTTTGGTATTTGGTTTAATGACGCGTACATAATAATTAATAATGTTATTTTTTTTTGTTACCTTAATTTGATAATTATTTATGAAATTAAATTGGGAAACGAGTAAATAATTTAATAAATTGATTAATAAAGCATCAATTGAGTTCAAAGTGCGTAATGGAATTACTTAGTTATTATCAATATGTAACAACAATAATCACCAAAAATTAATTTAAGCATAACACTGTAGAGNTTTTGTTACCTAAATTTGATAATTATTTATGAAATTAAATTGGGAAACGAGTAAATAATTTAATAAATTGATTAATAAAGCATCAATTGAGTTCAAAGTGCATAATGGAATTACTTAGTTATTATCAATATGTAACATAAATGTTTTGATATTATTTATAAAACAACTATCATATCTTATTTTATCTTATATCAGTTGATCCATTTAAGTGGGTACACTCATTATCCTGAAAAGTATTAATGTTTTCAAGAATTTGTATTTGAGAAAATTTAAGAAATAAGCTGTTCTACAATTTTATGTATATATTATTTTTTGTTACTCTCATTTATGGGGGTAGAATCACTACCTACTTGTGATTTTAAAATGGCAACCTGTATTTAAAAGTCTATAAATAGATGGAGTATTAGTTAAAATCAATTTTATTGTTGAAATTTTTGATTTCTGTTGATCCGTTGACGAGATATTCCACTTTTTAGTATGGGTTGGAGGAGAGTGGTGGAGTGTAATTTATATGGTGGTACGGCGAGCGGCGTATTATTAATGCACCACTACTCTCCTTCAATTTAAAATTAACGTGGAAAATCTCGTAAACGACCTTAAGGTAANATTTTTGATTTCAGTTGATCCGTTGACGAGATATTCCACTTTTAAATATGGGTTGGAGAAGAGTGGTGGAGAGTACTTTATATGGTGATACGGCGAGCGGCGTATTATTAATGCACCACTACTCTCCTTCAATTTAAAATTAAAGTGGAATATCTCGTAAACGACTTTAAGGTAATCAAAAATTTCAAATTCAAAATTTATTTTAAATAATGCGCCTTCTTTTTTTGGATTTTAATTATAGGTTGCTATATTTTAAATTCAACAGTAGGTAATGATTTTACCCCCCAAAAAAAGGTCACCAAAAATTAACTTAAGCATAACACTGAAGAGAAGCTTGTTTCTTGACTGTTCTAGAAAACATTTTCCGAAAAATTTATACTTTCCGAGATAACGAGTGTACCCACTTTAATGGATCACCCGGTACATAGTGAAATAGAAATTTACCTTTAAAGGTTGTAGTGGATATAGTAAGAGTAGATAATATTACTGTTGAGACTCGGGTGGACTTATCATTTATTTAGGGTGATGGAGATCGGGCTTTATCAACTCGTGTAACTGTTTTCTTAAATGAAAAAGAATGAAGGTCGTTTTCAATTTGTCTCGGGGTTCCTTGCGGTAGCATAGATCGATATTCCTTGGATAGTAGCGACCTGGAAGGCGCATTTTGAGGCGAATGAGACTGTAAAGTGCTATTAAGCGTTGAATGCGATTCTCGTGGTGAAATACTTCTTTCCGTTTTAATTATGGTTTTCCGAGTTTTGAAAAACGAGACATTGTCTAAGGTAGTACTGTTAATTTGTTTATGTGGCTGAGCTGGCCAACCGTCTCGAACGGTCTACATAAATAATAAGCAGTGAATAAATAGTAGTAAGTAGTAGTAAATAGTAGTAATAAACTAGATATTTTGTTAACTATTAAAAAAAAAAAATGAAATTATATACCTTATATACCTTTGATGAACGTGTTACGGCGTTCTTTGAATCTTTATCATTGTTTGATGGTTCAATTTGCAGCTTAGCTTTTCGTATTTGCGCTATAATTCGTCTTCTGTTATCGTAACCCACTGCCTTTTCAAGCTAAACAAATATATACTAAAATATAATAAATATAAAAAACATATATCGGATGAGAAGTTGTTTTATTTGTTCAACACATTAATATTTGATTGATACATTTTAAAAATAAATAAATACATAGAAATGTTTAGATACTTATATCAAATGAATTTTACATTCGCAGCATAGCATGTGTGGTTTTTTTTTCCTATCTGTAAACAACTTTTTAAAAAAAAATCTGTTCCGATGTACACTTGATATTGATTAATTGGGAAAATCCAGAATGANCATTGTTTTTAATTTGTCCTACTGTTTTTTATTAAAACAATTGCTTCAATCAAAAAAATTGACAAGTGATCGTTTTAGTTCCTTTTACATATAGCTACTGTCAAAAAAAAATAACTTTTTTAAAACCAATATCGTTTTGATAAGAATTGGAAAAATCAAAAAAGACGAAAAATTAGATTTTTTTCCNTCGGTGGTTTAACTGGTAAACAAGCTCTCGAAAACACTTACATTCAAACAGTCGGCTTCGTGTTTGGAGACAAGGCGGTCTATCCTACATCCAGTTCTACTAGCAAGTCTACAATCGATTGGTTTAGTACGCCCAAGTCTAGAAATAAAAACCACGTTACAGGTAATTCTTTTAATAATGCTACCGCCTTTAAACCCACCGCCGCCTGAACACGAACGTTATTTTCGTTATAACGTCGGCCAACAGCGTTATTGGTGGCAAGAATACAATAAAACTAGACTGAGACGTGGTTTAAATTTGTTTATAGATTCAGTGCCTATGGACGATGTTTCAACATCTACCGGTGCCTCCGCAGCCAAAAGAACCTCCGACGGCGGTGAGGCTAGTGCAGCCAAGAAGAAGAAGCTACCTGGCACGGCTAACGAAGAAGCTAGTGATCCAGATACTGGGAATCCTAATCTTGAAAACGCTGTTATACATCGGGCAATCCACCAGTCAAGCGGACAACGACTCGTTTTTAGGAAAAATCATTCTTTCGTCAGCTACGGTATTGCGTCAGTTCAGCTCGTACTTGACCCAACTGGTTATCAACGTGTGGGAACAAATCTTATGAGTGTACTAGTATAATTTCCATTTTTCTACTTATCACCGGCTGAAATGAATATCATTAAATTAATTCGAGGCGTACGAGTCATATCGGTAAAAGCTAAAGTATGTATGCGTAATCCCAGAACGGCCTTCGAAACCAATGCCAGTACGAGTAATTTGGCAACATTGAATCAAAATAAATTTGCGCTGTTGGGATATTCAGTATTAAACTCTACTAGATGTACCAACTGTACCTACGAATTTGGCAATGCTACAAAACCTATGGTACCCAATAATGTCAGCACTGATGTATTTTCCGTTTTCAAAAAAGCTATATCGGCAATGTATGGAGTACACGCGGATAATTTTAGTAAGCCTAATTTTGAAGATAACAGTTCATTACCGTGTTCTTATCTAAATTTGCCTATGCATTATCCGGTATATTGTACTATGCACACAAACAAAAAAGCGTCTTCGACACTTTCTGATACAATAACAGATGGCGATATAGGCTGGCTTTTGTTAAATAATTTCGTTACAAAAGTGGACGCTTCGAGTCTTATCGGATCAACGGTGACGGAGTACTCATACGAATCTCCTATGGGTTTATTAAGTTGTCCTTGGGAAGGAGTATTCAACGGAAAAGTCGATAATGATTTAACGGCTAAATTAGACTGTCGTCTTATAAGTATGCAGGGGTTATCGACTTTAAATACAGTCAATATGAATTTCTACGAAGGCACCAATACGCATAATGTTACAGCGAATACTTATAAACAGTTGAGACCGTCTTTTTGGAATTCATTGTACAGTGGCGACGATAGATATTTTAATCCTACAGATTGCTCCCAATTTATTACAAGAGGTCCGAATACTCCCGAACACAGTTATAAAGTTCAACTTAGTCTCCACGTGGGAGTGGCAGCAGTACCTCAATTAACTACGACATCAGCCGATCTTACTCCTACCAATTTTACAGACGTCGAATGTACATGGGATATTCAAACAGAAATGGTTTGCACGTATGATATACCATATCAGTTTACGCATTTTAAAAATCCGCATATACACAACGAAGAAGCATTCTATGTACATCCCCACGCTACAATCAGTAATGTTCAAGAATTTACCAACTCCAATTACAATAATATGTACACGTCAATAAACGAAAGTACTCCGCCCGCATAGCAATCACAGAAAGCCGCTGCTCCTGTTGTAGCAGAAGCACCGGTAACATCTAGATTATCGAGAATGATATCGGCCGCTAACAACATATTATCAAACGTCCAAGAAGCCGAGTCTGTCGCCGCTACAGAAGAAACAGTTAGGAGGGAACGCCCTACTGTCAGGTACATTCCGGATGACTATGTGGACAAGAGCACGGGCAAAGTACCAGCACCGACCACATACAATGGTCGTTTTTATTTGTATAATTATAAGGAGAAAAAATGGATATCGTACACAGACATTATATCAAATAATCAATAAAAACACATTTCTATATTATTTAATTTATGTTGTATTTATTTAACAAAGGTATTAAAAACAAAGGATTTATTTTCCTATCAAAATCTTTTAAAAAGTCAGCATTTCTCCATCTGTACAATTTTATTCTTGTTTTGAAAGCTGACATGCCAAAAATATTTAAAGAATCGTTGGTGAGTATTATAACAGGTGGACCTTGAAGAGCTTGATCGCTTTGATATTTTACGTGTACTTTAGTAGTATCCCCTCCTAATATTTCTTTTAATTTTTCTATGTGGCAATTTTCGTAATTTGGTTCGTTCCACAAAATTAATCTTTTGTTTGCAGCCTCGGCAAACGCAAAATTATTTGTTTTATTCGCCGTCCCTATTGTACCGTAATTTATGAAAAACGCGGCTACTGCGTCGAAAAAAAAATTTTTTCCAGAATTTGGCGGGGCGTATATAGCCAAAGTATTTAATTTGGGAATTCTTTTATCAACAATGTATAATAAATGTTTTAAAAAATCTACTACTTTATCTTCGTTTACGAATTGATGAATTAATAGTTTTTCTGCGATTTCTACACTGTCGGGAATGTCGTAGTAAACCTCGCTTTTTAACCTATTATACCCGTTCCAATATGGTTTTACTGTAATATCGTTGTAATAACTCTCAAACTCTTTTAAAGTCCACATGTTTAACCTACTACACCAGTTTCGTACGTCTACTTGGGCGTATTTACAATTTTCTAAAGTTTTATTAACGTTAGGATTGTTTACAAATTCTTTAATTTTTTTATAAGCTTGAGGGGGACAAGTTGGATATTGATAGAGTAATTGTTCTATTGATATCGGTCCGTATTCTTCCGATACCATTTGTTTTCCCCGCTTCCACCTCTTATGTCTTCCGACTTCGGCCCCGCTGTCTTTAGAACCGAGTACATCTCCTTCAACAGACGATTCGCCGTCTTTAAAATCGGGTTTGTTGAGGCACACGTTACACGGATTTGTCTCAAAGCTTCGGTCCAATATTCCGACTTGGCTAAATTCCCTAGGTCTTGTTTTCTACATTATAAATAAAAACACATTTATTATTCAGAATCACTGTTTATTGACATACAATTGTTATAAACATAATCAATAGTTCTTTGATTTAAAAATGGGTGATTTTCTAAAAAATAATTAAATAAATCTTCATCACCTTTAAACCATGGATGAANATTTGTAATACGCTGTGATACTTCCAATCGAAAAAACTATCATCTAACGCTGTCATACAAATATATTTACTTTTTTTATATAATTTTAAAGTTTGTTCTGCTCGGTGCAATTGTTCGTACCAACTACCTTGACTTACTTCTAAATAAAAATCGTGTAAAGGCGTACCGGCCATATAATATTTATCTTTTAACGGAGTACTTTTGAATGTGAGAGGTTTAATAAATTTTAAATGTCTATCAAAGTCTTGTAAAGTTTTTTCACAAATATACAATATTATATTTATTAATACTAACCGATAAATGTTTAAATCGAGTACATAATCGTTCATCTTCTGTGAAGCCACCAACTTCTTCGACGACCCTCTCGTCGTTAGATAGGTAACACAAGACTGCTCGCCAATCCCTTGCGTCAAGCCCGGCAGCTCGAAGAGACCTTCGTTTTCCGTCGACGAGGTTTCTTTGATACCTACCGCTTTCATCGAGCCACCGACATCTGCAACTTCCGTTGGTATATTGACATACGTGGACAACATGGAGGTGCTCTCCATGACTCGCGATGATATACCAGTGTTTTGGGGGAAATCGGCTAATGTTCTCCCGCAGTTCTGACACACATCCCAAAACTCCTTCAGGTCCATTAAACACGGCAATTCGGTGAATATATCTGTGTTTTCCAGATACGTGTTTAGAAGCAACGATAACGGCCAGTTCGCCCAATTTGTCGTTAAATTCTTCTTCAGGGCAGTCATAAGCGCTATAAGAGGTTGATATAACTGACCTAGATCCAATACTTCTAGTTGTTTTTCCACATGAGTTAACTCCATAGTCCTCTTCGTCAACAACGGACTCGGGGTTTTCGTTGTTAAAAATCGGTGATTTACTACGCTCATCATCAGAACCAAAGTCCATAATGGAAACGTCTTCGTCGTATCCGAAATCGGATTCATAGCCTGTATTATCTGAATACAGTCCTCTTTGTTCTCCGATATTTCCAAATTCATATTGTCCCGGCAATACGATATCAATTCTTTCAAAGTCATTTTCAATATTTTGTCGGTCAGTTGTTCCGGGTCCTCTTCGTTCGGCTTGTCTACTTTGGATTTTTTGTGCTGTGAGTCTACGAATTCGCTCCCCGATGAGCTTCTTTTCTTTTGCTCCGAGCGTATGTTCAGAAGTGTCTCTTCCATAGTCGATTCTTCGCATAATAGGTTGATAGACATTGTAAACTATATGCGCGTTATGTTTTATGGCTAGTAGTGTACTAATAAACATTTGTGAACGCTCCGTATTATATAGGAATAATTATTTGGAGTACGTGATGGCATTACGATGACATTTCATAAGTACTTCAGATTATATTCTCGGTAAAGTGTTTACGTCTAAAAAGTCACGTACGCACTTGAGATTAATTTATTTATAAGTGTTATATGTGTTATATGTGCTCTCTATTAAGATAAGAAAATTAAAAATAAAATATTCGACGACGACACAACGACATAGTGACCTTGAATTCGGACTTGTAATATATTCTATATTTTTTTTTTAGCTCAGAATCGGATTTTATTAGTGTTTGCTCAGAATTAG